AGTCAATTGGAGAATGGGTGAATGTATTATGGTATCTACATACAATGAAATATTAGACAACCATTAATCCTATGTTAGAATATGTCTTAACCTATGTACATAATACAGTTTAAATTTTAAAAACTATGGTTGCAGAGTAATTGTAGAGTTGTAGAGCACACATCAATTTTCATTTAAACTTTAAACAGAAAATCTGTTTTTATATCTTTGTGTATTGTTAGATAAACTATTAATATTGGTTGCCTCTGAATCAGGATTCAAGATGACGGGAGGAAATTATTAACTTTTTCTCGATATCATTCTATATTGATTTTCATTAAAATATTAGCATATGTTAACTTTATAATTTATTTTTTAAATTTTGGCTTTTAAAATATTTTATTAAATGTTAAATAGGTACAAAATAATAATTAAGTGAAATATCTTTAAGAAAAAGAACAATACATACCCAATTTAAAACAGAACATTAGCCCCTGATGCTCCTGTGTCCCCTTCCCAGACCTCATTCCTCGTCCTCCTCCCTCAGGGTATAATCACTATTCTGAATTGTGCTATCATTCCTTTTGTTTGTTTTGTTTACCCTTTATGCTGTTTGGCATTTTTTGCAAGTTTATATAGATTAAATTATTTTGTTTTAAATCTCGACTTTTTTGCTAAGACTGCATCTGGGTTTATTCATCTTCACATTAAACAAAATACAATATTTAATTCATACATGCTGGTGTTGACAGATATCTGAGTTATTTACAGTTGAAGTCTATTACAAACAAGCCTAGTATGGACATTCTTGCATATGTCTTCTGTTACAAAAGGAAAAGAGTTTCTCTAAGATAAATAACCAGGAAGGAAATTGCTAGGACATATGGCATGTGCACATTAAAAAAAACACCAAATTATTTTCCAAAATGGTTTCCATCAAGTCACATACTCACCAATATTAACTATTATCACATTTTTAAAAATGGAAACCATCTAGTCAGTGTAAATTATTATTTCAATATGATTTAATTTTCACTTCCCTGATTCAAAATTAGGTTGGACCACTTTTTCTTATTTTCTCTTCTGTGAAATGCCTGTTAATGTGTTTTGCCCATCTTTCTATTTGGTTATCTTTTACTTATTAATATGCAGTTCTTTATATTTTCTAGTCATTAATCCTTTGTGAGCATAGACCTCAGTAACAGACCCTAGGAGGAGCTTAACCATAGTTCTAAACTGAAACTGACACGGAGGGTACTAAGAAAGAAAAAAGCAATGTCTATCTACTTTTCCCTAGGAACTGGCCTTACTCTAACAGCTAAGACATGGTATTCCCTGTTTGCAAAGGAATATGTTCTTATTTTTATTTTTAAAATATATTTATATTCAAAATTCCATTTCTGCCTAAATATAGAAAGCTAATATGAGCATCACTCATACCCTAACAATATATACAAGTTGAAAAAACAAAGCACTAAATCAAAAATTTTGAACCCATCAGAGAGCTGAAGTTGCAGGGCAACCAAGTAGTCTGAAATCTAAGGAAAGACAGACTCTCCTAAAGAGTGACAGGACGTGAACACTGGCTCCCTGTTGCAGTTCAAAGGAGAAAGAGATACCAGGCACTATACAAATGGGAAAGAAGTATTCAGACATAAAATGTACTGTACATAAATGTACTGCTGATAGCTGGATGTGGGCCAGTGTGACAATACAGAACAGCGTAAAGCCACAGACACAAAGAGAACTTGCACACATTCAAAGACTCAAATTCAAAGACCTCCAACAGGTGCTCATAAGAAAGACTGAGAGCAGAGCAGGAGATGGGAAGAACCATTCCCTCAGAAGGGTAGGCTTGGAGGAGGGGAGCTACTGTCATGGTAGAAAATGCATAAAGCCTCACTAAGACCTATTTTTCCCAGAATAAAAGCCTCACACTGCAGGAGGAGGAGCATCAATTCCTGCTGTATATAAGTGTAGACACACTGCAGTTGGGAAAAGAGCAAACAAAACCCTTCTATTCCTGGAGAAGGTGCAGAAAGCAGTCCTGAGTCCAGGATTTGATGCCATTATTATTACAAAACTCCTACCACTACACTAAGTGAAGGGGAGGAAACCTTCTCCACTATGGACTTACCAAAGGTGTCAGGCAGAGTCTGGATGCCATGAGAAGGGGTAGTATCACTGACCAAGCCTGTCACTGAGGACCAGGGATGGAGGACCTGCCCAAGGCTGATAATGGAATAGGACAAGAAACAATGACTTGGCCCTCCCTCCCCAGGCAAGCAAGCACCAGTCTACTGCTGGAAGATGGGCAGAAGAAGGAGAGAGAGCCCTTCTGAAGCACAGGCACACAGGGAAGGCCCAAAGTTGAGGATGAAATAGGAAAAGGCCAACAATAAAAACTCTTTAGCACCCCAGCTGCCACCCTGCACACAAGCTAAATCCTAAGGAATTCTAAGCCAATGGTTCACTATAGGTAATGAGAGCAACACAAAACCAAAACCCAGCTCATGTCCTAAATGGCCTACCAGAGGAATAGGCATGACTATTTCTAGGCATAAATTCTATTTACTTCAGTCTCTTTTTTTCTACACCCAGTACCAACACTCAATCAGATATATAGACATATAATGAAGCTGCAGCAGCTGCAACAACAGAAGCCAGTGTCGAAAAGCAAAGCAATCACAGAAAAAAGTATCAGCAACAACCCATCTGTCAGAGTTATCCAACAGGGAATTTTAAATAACTATCATTAACATGTTTAAGCTCTATGAAAAATGCAGACAAAATGCATTATCAACAGAGACAGAATCTGTAAGGAGGTGTCAAATGGAAATGTTGTACATAAAAAAACACTGTATGCTTTCAATGCGTTCATTAGTAGACTCGACACAACCAAGAAAGGAATCAGTAAACTTGAAGATAGGTTGACAGAAATTACCTAACTGAAATACAAAGAGTAAAAAGAATAGGAAAAAAAAAAGTAAAAAGCAACCAATAACATTAGTACAGCTTCTTTGGAATACAGTTTGTCTATTATACACTTATGACCCAGCAATCCCACTCCTAGATATTTACCTTAAAGTAATGGAAACTTATGTTTACACAAAGTTTGTGAATATCTGTGGTATTATCCATAATTGCCAAAATCTGGAAACAACCCAGTGTCCTTCAACTGGTGAATGGAATACTATTCAATAAAAAAGAAATTAAATACTGATAAATGCAATGACACAGATGAATATCAAAAGAATTACGCTAAGTGAAAGAAGTTGGACTCAAAAGGCTACATATTTATGATTCCTTTTATATAATACCTTGAAAAAGACAAAAGTAAAGAGAATGAAAATAGATTAGTGGTTGCTAGGCACTGGTGATAGGGTTGAGTTAACTACAAAAAAATACAAGAGAAATGTGTGGGGAGATAGAAATGTACTATACCTTGATTGTGGTGGCAAACCTGGGTCAAACCTCATAGAACCGTATGCTAAAACGGTGAATTTTCCTGTATGCCTCAGTTTAATTAAGCATGTTTTAATTAATTAAAATTATGCCTCATTTTACAAAAGCATATTCTTATAACAAACTATTTTTGTATATTTTGTATATAGTGTGGACTGTGACAGCTTTATAATATGTTAACATGACTAGGCTGGACCACTTTTCCCAGAATTCTGTTTCCTGAATGTTTCCAGCTAAGACAGGGCACAAGCGAGGTCCTCATCCTCCTGTCAGATATGGAAGGCGAACATGGGGCAGCAGCTATTCTGTGCTCAGATGCACTGTGGATGATCTCTTGACTCCCCTCATTCTATATGTGGAAGGAAGAACCTAAAATCACAACAGTGCCAATCCTACCTGAATGAATATAACTGGCATGTCATTCTATCTAAATTTCAAACAAGTTTACACAAGAATGCACAAAATAATTTAAAATCACCGAGGTAGCAAAAACTTGCCCAAATAGCTACAAAAATGTATTTTTTAAAAAGTTAGAGGGAGGATTTTCCTTTCCAGATATATTTAGAATGAATAGAATCAAAACAGAATAATATAATATGTCCACAGGAACAAACAAGTCAATTAGTAAAAAAATTTAGAGAATACAAAAGGATCAAACATTTTTAGAAACTTAATACGTGATAAAAGTATATATAAATTCATTTGGGAAATGTGGTTTATTTAGTGAATAGTGCTGGTATAACTGTCTAGTCATATGAAAGAAAATACAGTTTTCTATACCCCTATAATATTTAGCAATATTTTTGTATGAGATCTGCAGTTTAATAATTGTGTAATATGATATTTTCTTAATTGGGTTTGATATGTTTCAAATAAAGTCATTAGAGAAGATGTTTCCAACATTTGATGGGACGTTGGTTATGGATGACCTCCAAGATCCTCTCCAACTCCAAGGTTTTTGAGGTGTGCATGTGATCCCCCAAGTTTACAAATACAAATTTTATAAATATATATATACACACACACATATATAAAGTATATATTCATAGTTCTAATTACATTTATATTATATATACATGTAAATACACATACACAAACAGTTCTGAAATATTATTCAGTGTTATAATTTGTTATGCATATTTGTTGTTTTCTTTTTTCCCCACTATAAACATGTGATAATTTGTAATCCAAAAATGTTATTATTTTACTTACAAAGCATATATTGTGCAACAAATTTTTAAAAAGGAAATTAGGAAGCAGGTTATTTTTCAAATCTATAAAATATCTAGCTTTAAAAAAATGGATTTTACTAAACTGACATATTTAATACCTTAAAATACTTGAAGAAAGGACAGAAATTAGCCATTCTGAATATGGGGTGTGGAGCATTTTTTTAATTGTATTTTTTTATTTTTAAAAGAAAATCCTAGAAAAGCATATTTTCCCATTTTTTGAAGTTTTTCCTAGCTCTTTCTTTCATTGGTAATAGAAATATCTTTGTGCATATCTCTAAAATAGAGCCTCAACTTGTTACTACAAATAGGATGATGTCATACCAGAAAGTAGTGGGGAGAGAGCCTGTGAGGGTCCTGCAGGCTCCTCGTTCTCACTGCTCAACCTGTCTCTTCTGAAGGGGACTCTGGCTGTCCACATGCTGGGATCACTGCCACTAGAAAAAAAATGTATATATTTGCCCATGGTTTCAAAGAATATATACATTTGAGAAATACTTTCTAATCACCTTGATTATTTAATTGACATTCACTTCCATTTCAATTCAGTCACCCACTCCCATTGTCATCACCTGAAATTGGCTCACTTGTGAGATAATTCCCAAATCCCAATGTCTGATCATAAACTCCATCTCCTCCCACTACTTTTACCTTGCAAACTAGTCGCCTCAGATCCATCCGCCTATTTACCTTCTCCTCTCCTCTACCTAGGCTGCGGGAGGGAAGTACTAGGGTTACTGGGCTTTCTAATATCAGCAGAGAGCCATTTGGAAAACACCACCATGTCCCTGGTTGGTTTCCTGTACCATTGGTTTCTTCCATGGCAGCTAATTCCAAGCCACCATCCTGTTAGAGTCCTTATCTTAATACTTTCTCCGCCTTAGTAAAACTGTAACTTCTTCTAGAAAATACCAGAAAATAGAAATTCTTTCAATTATCTTTTAAAACATTTACTTAGATGCATCAATGTCTTTCTTATTCCTTGCTTTCTGCCTGTTCAAAATTCATCCTTCCATGTTCTTAACCTGATTCCTTCTACCTCCTCTAAGGTACTTTCTATAACTTATATATATTTTTTAACATATCATGAATCACTCCCTATCTACAAATTCTTTCATATCATACTCACTTTTCTGTATCTAAAAAATAGGAAATGCTTTAAACTCTGTCTAGCTACTAATCGTTAACAGATTTTTCAAATACTAGCCCATATTCACTTTCTGTTTCCTTTGCAACCTCTCCATACTCAGCTGACTCGCTAATGCTATCAACTTGGCTCCTGTTGCATTTTCATTTGCAACCCTACCTAGCAAAATCCTCCTAACTTGACTTCCGCATCTAACCTTCAATGTTTAGAGAAAATTCTTACTAAAACACAAACTTAATTACACCTGCCCACCAATATCAGGATAAATCAAAGCCCCTTATCAGACACCTAAGTTTAAGATATTGGCCAGGTGGCCTCTGTGTACTTTTTCATCACCATCTCCACTGATTTCCTACCTCCACTGTATGCTTTAACCTTAGCAAAATAAATGCCTTTTTCTTTTACTTCTGTAAGGCATTTCGGGTTTCTTACTCTTTTCTCCTTCTCATTTTTTCTTGGATTACTATAAACATTTAATTAATCTCCACTGACTGCCACTTCCAGCTATCCTCACCCTGCCACCAGCATTCCTCCTTCTGTGTGGATAAATAGACAGTTTCACAAATAAAACAAAAAGACCCTCCCTATGCATCCTTTTCATTTTAACAGACTGAATAAAATGTATACTCAGCTTCACATATATGGCGTTACTTCCCACCCCAGCCCACGCTGTATTTTGGGCTCCACCTCTCATCTTCTCCAGCTTCCTGGCATTCCACCTCACACACACCCTACGACTCTTGGCACCTAATATTTCTCCCCATTAGTAAGATATTTTCACAACTCCTTACCCTCGCTCAAACTTCTTCCTCTTGCCTGAAACGTTCTTCTCCTTTTCACCTGCTAGGTTTCTATTTAATTAAATCCTAAATTCAACTAAAATATCTTTTCTTCAGAGAAGCTTGTGGGAAACCTCCCTCATGCATAGTCAGTCTTCTGTACCCGCAATCTTTGGATTTTGACTCTAAAATAATGTTTACTACATTGTACATCAATTTGTCTTTTATATGTCTGTTTTCCTAATTAAACTGTGAACTGAAGAGCCAAAAATATATAGTCGTTTTTATTTGTGTACAATGCTTAGTATATCATAGAATCTCAAAAAGCCTTTGGAATTACTGTTACTTGTTTAATGCACTTCTGAAAGTTGTACATACAAATTTCATACAATACACATACAAAAACACACAATATAAAGAATATACACATTCTTATACAGTGCTATTCCAGTGAGGGTAGCTAAAATTACTGATAAATCTCTAAGAAAATATGGCTTAACAAAATGTTTCCTCATTTGATGTTTTTGCTTATAACACCTAAATTTGAATATTTTATAAGCATGAAAACTTGTTTCTTTAGTTTTCTTAATGGAAATTTACTGTTCTTCAGGTACTTTAAATTTTTTAAACATATACTACCAGAAATTCACCATACTAATAATCCTATTGTTTATACCATATAATTTTCTTTCTGAAAACAGATTACATTTCTAACAAAATTTAGTGCTGTACTGAGAGCTTCATGCTACCTCAAGTACACTGACCACTTCAAAAGCTCCAAGCATATTTGCAAAAGCTTTGACACCAGGTAACTATTGAGAGGATAGAGAAATTGAATCCTTCAAGAATACTTTTCTCTTGTGTTAATTACCATATTTGTGAGATCGTAACCATATTCCTAAGAAAGCTAAATCAGGTTTATAAAAGGCTATATCTTGAAAAATTAAACATTTGAGGGCCATTATTCACTGTCTCCATGCAGAGGGCTAGCTATGAATATAAGTAGCATAAACAGAAAACTCACTAAATAAGCATATCAGTTATACCTTTCTGAAGGCTCTTCAAAAATATCCTCATAATCATTACGTGGGAAATTCCGAAGAGAAGGTTTTACCTTCTCTGAGTTAACTTTCTTCTCAAAAACCTACAGACATAAGAAAGGAAACAAATTATAGCCCTGGTTTTAGAAAAAATGTGGTTTAAAAGAAACATTATTTCTATAGCTACTTAAGAAGAGTGAAAAGATCTGCAATAATGGAATTATAACCACAATCACATAGTATAATTCTGCTCCTAGAAAATCACTTAACTGTATATCTCCCTATAAAATATTTTTCAATCTGTCAAAACAGTGCAGAGTACTATGTAAACAGAAGTTATTTATATTAAATAACTCAAGTGATTTTTCAAAACTAAATTTTTAAAAAGCTTCGTTTGAGAAAAAATAGATTTATTACTTCAGCTCATAAGAGATTTTCTTATAAGTGTTCACCATGTTTTGTTTACTGTGAATATAAAACTCCTGCCACTATATTTATCTTTACTTTAGTACTTGCACCATCCAATCTACTAATTCTAAGTATTTCTCCACATTTCACTGCCCAATTTTGCACTGGAGAGACTTCAGTCTTGACAAGTCGCAGTGCTAGTGCCCCAGTCATCATATACACATGTTTCCTTCCCTCTTTGTCTAATACTGTCTTGCCATACTTGACCTTCTGTTTTCTCAAGAACATCTTTTGAATCAGCTGATCGAATCTCATTCACACACAAAAATAACTTTGGGATTATTACTGAAATTAAGTGATATGAATTTTTAAATTTAAATTGGAAATAAGTGATATATTTATATATTAAGTATTATTATCCACTAATATGATATAGCTACCCAGCAAACACATTATAAAATATTCTCAATAAAGACAATGTACACTTTTTCTTAGATTTACTGCTAAACACTTTAAGTGGCACAATTGTAAATGTAATGTTATAGATTAGACCTTATATTTGCTACACACTGCTCAGTCCGCAAACCACATGTTTTTACATCCAGTATTTTTGTGTACATTCCATTCTAAATACTTTAAACTTCCATTATGATTTCTTCTTTGACTAATGAGTTTACTAGTGTTTGCTTGGTGTATATTTAATTTTTACTTTAAAATCACAGGAAAATGTCCACCTAAGATTCCTTCTCATTAAACTATGTAGCTAACCAATACATTAAATGAAATGAGCTTCACAGAGTTGAACTAGTTTTGAAATCAGCACTGATTGGGAAATCCCTAAAAATTACTTTCAGGATAATTAAAATTGAAATGTAGAAACTGTGGCTCCAGTGGGATGGAGGAAAAGAAGTGGGACAGTGCTATTACACAAACATGATCCCACTTCCCTCCTATGAGACATGTTTAAAAGTCATTTGAGTACAATTCATTTACTTAGAAGAAGTAACATCTGGAAGTCCTAACACAATTTAAACCTGAGACATCTTTCAAGTCATGGTTCAAAATCAAATTGATTATATTTATTTTTTAAAGAAGCAAACTGTTCTAGACGGCTGCAATTCAAATTTAAGGTTGACTAACATATGTCTGATTGAGTGAAATGTGATTTTGCTAACAATACCAAGAACTAACATGGAGAAACATAATAAATTATCAACATGGCAGGACTTTTGGAGATTGCTCACTGAATCAAATTAATATGAAATTTTTTTAAATGTTAGAAAATGTTTTCTGAGGAGCCTAAGTTAGCTTTTCTGTACTCCATGAAGCAAGGATTTATGAGGACAAAGTGAAAACAGTAACACAGATAGGAGCCTGGTTTCTAGTCTGTGACTCAAGAGTCGTATGATCATAGACAAATTGCTTCAGCTTTCACCTCTAAAATGAGTGCCGGCATAAAAATGTCTTTAACAGGCCAGCCGTGGTGGCTTATGCCTATTATCCCAGCACTTTGAGAGGCCGAGATGGGTGGATCACTTGAGGCCAGGAGCTCAAGACCAGCCTGGCCAACATGGTGAAACCCTGTCTCTACCAAAAATCCAAAAAATAAATTAGCCTGTCTCAAAAAAAGTTAGTAATGCTCCAAATCTAACCAACTTCAAGTCTATGAGTCTAGACAATTTCTAGGGGACAGCATCTATCTGAAAGGACATAAAAATGGCTACAATATCAAATTGTTTCATGAAATATAAGAAAAACAAGTTCTAATGAAATCAGGTAATTTTCCCAACACTCTAAAAACCATCCAGGAATGTTCTAAGATCCTTTTTTCTTAAAGGAAACTTTAAAGCATATCAGAATTCATCCTAGATAGGCCAAGCTATAACTTAGAAAAAAAAAAAAAAAAACCAAAGTAAAAATATAAACAAAATCACAAAATGTGCTCAGTTCTAGAAGAAGTCAAATAAGACTATAAGACTATACAAAGGATCTACTTGGGCCATTCTGTGAAGGTGTTCCCATTCAAACTGTCTCTGCTTCAAACAGGAAACCATTCTGATCAGAGAAAAGAATGGCTCAAGAGTGAGCTAAAAGCCCAACATGGCACTAACAGCCATAGATTCCCAGCCAAAGATGTGATGGTAGCCTTGATGTGCCCAACTTAAGTATAGCAGAGAACAGACAGGAGATAATAACCAAGTTACAATGTTGTTCTTAAAAGCGGCACTCCTGCCCATCTGGGGTGGAGGTGGCAATTGAACGGGGGAAGCAGTAGAAGCAGTATTTGGTCTATGTACTGACTTTATCTCTATTATTGCTGTAACTTACAGGAAATGAGCACAAGGCCAGCATCATCATGGCAGTTCCAAAGCTCTAGTTGACTAGGTAAGAGAAAAAAAATGCAAAGCACCCGCCAGACTAAAATCCATTTCCCTTTTTTTGTGTCCTAACCCCAGCACTATCTCCACAAATGGGGTAATGTGTTGACGTAAGAGGTTTTGTCACAGACTTTTCACAGCCCTCTACTTTTCCATAGTTTGGAGATACCCAATCATGCTGTCTCAAACAATGAAAAAGTCCACAATCAATACATCTAAAGGTGCTTCAAACTTCATGTGAAATTTATTTTGTATCTTCATTAGTAGCACAAAACAAGTGCCTGTAAAATTTCTAGAGTAGCATTAGAAAATGCAATTCACTAGAAACTTGGCAAAAAGTTCCACTCTTTCAAATCCCTATTTTGGTCACTGTCAACACTACAGTGCAAAGAATTAAGAAATTATTTTGGTGAAAACAAAATAGATACCCATTTCCCAGAGAGCATAGTCAGCAACTTAGGTATTAGCCAAAATTAGTAGAGATCCCTCTCCTTTTAGTCTTACCTTTGATCTAGGTGTGTTTTTCTTACTTGATGAAGGCAAAGTCTCCCTGAAATTCAGGTCTTCTTCTTCAGAGTCATTTCCCTCATAATCTTTTACTGAACAAAGCGGGGGGAAAACTGATCAAATAGAAAACACTACACAGAAGGAAAAATGGAGACTTAATGAGAAAAAACAAGCTACATGAGGGGAATTTTCACCTACTTTTCCTGTTTTCCAAACACCCCATCTTTATCTCCTATGGTAATCATCTCTTTCCCCCCTGCTTTGAAAAAAGCAACATAGCAAAGCTGATCCTTCTTCTAGGATTATCCTCAGGGAGTTGACTTTTGAGCAGTTCCCTTGTTCCTCACTGCCACATTATTCAAGAAAGTACTCTTCAAGTAAATCCTAGATATTTACAACCTGCAGAACCCATGCATTGGGATATACAGAATACAGTCTTCTGTGTTTCAGAGTCTATTTCTTGAATAAAGAATACTGTGTTACAAAAGTCCCACTTTAACTTCTTATATTATTTATAATTCATAAGTTAGCAAGCAATATGTTAAATTATATAGAAAATTGTTTTCAGCTTTGTTGAAGAATGTAATATGAATCATCCCAAGGAAACTCTGGGTTTCTTATATGATTGTTCCTAATTACTGTGTAAATTTTACTGCACAGACTCTTTCAGATAAGAAGCCGAGAGAAAATTTTCTCTGATCTCAGTATTGAGCACTCACAGTACTGTTTCTCATACCATAGCAGCATGAAATATTATGATTTAGAACTTCTGTGACATGGCATATTACAAAATCAATAAAAATATAGTAAACAAGCACTATGGAATTGAAAAAGTGTGTTCCTGAATGTGTGTTAAAAAGGAAATCTAATAGAAATTATGAACCTTTATAACATATGAATTAATTTTATAAATTAAAACATTAAGAAATGTCAATGAAGGGACAACATATCAAAACTAATGTGAAGTAGCTAAATGAGTATTTAGATAGAGGGAAAATGTATAGGTTTAAATATGTTTACAAAAAAAGTAGAAAAAAACCTGATATAAATGAGTTTTGTATTCAATCATAGAGGCCAAAGAAAAACCGAGGAAACCCAGAGAAACTACAAAGGAGGAAATCATAAAGAAAACCATAATAATAGAAAATAAGCCTAAAGAATAATCAGCAAAATCCAATACACTAGTTCTTTGGAAAAAAACTTAAAAATACACAACCCTCTTTCACTATCAATCAATGGAGAGTAAGTGCACAAATGACATTAAAAATGAAAAAGAATCGCTTCTCAGCCTTTTGGCTAAGATCAAGTGTGAAAATGAAAAAGCACACAACTACAGATGCAACTCACTTTTTTAAAGGTAATAAGCAAATACTATGAGAAACTTTAGGAAAATCTGATGAAATGGAAACTTTTATAAGAGAATTATAAGTTATGAAAATTTACTCCAGAAGATGTAGAAAGCCTAAATAGTGTCATAACCATTTAAAAAGTCAAACCAATAATCAAAAATACCACTCCCAAGAGGAAAAAGCATATGGGCCCAAACAGGTTTCCAGATGGCATTTTATCAGACTTTCAGTGAAGAAAAATCTTTCTTATGCAAACGGTTTTGAAAATAGGAAATTCCGCAAACCTAGGAAGGAGCTTCAAGTGCTAGAAAAAAAAAATTAACAGAAAAACAAGTCTATAAGAAATATAAACAAGCAACTCAAAGAAGGTGACTTACAGGCCAGTAATGTATTTTTAAAAAGTCCAGTCTCACCTGACAAACAAAAAATGAAAATTGAAACAACCTACAACTTACTTTCATTTATGCTTATGAGAGATTTACTGTAATAGGACTTAACCACAACTAATCAGAAAATAGGACAAAATATATAAAACAATAATTTTCAGACCTTGAACAACAGATTATGATCCCAGAGAGAAGGGGGTGAGCCTTCTGGTTGCTCCAGATCATGGCCTCCAGGAGTCTGCAGGCTATAGCTCAGGAAAGGAATCAGAGTCCAGTGATTCACCGATTGAGAAGAAAAAGATCAAAGTTAGGAGAGGCTGAGGCAGCCAGAATTTGTAGGGCAGAATAACAGGGAGGCCTATTATTATATTATTATAATAATAATAGGAGGGAGCTATACAGAACAAGAGAAGTCTAAGTAGCTGCAAAGAAACCCACTCATGTCTTTTGCAGAATGTAGATATGCTTATATGAAGGAAGACAATCTCTGATACTCAGGAAGGATCACCGGAAAGTAGCAAGCCACATAATTCCTAGAAACAGTTCATATGAGCCAGAATGAGGAGACCCTGCAATACAGGGACATTGAGGATAGTGCACAGAAGAGATACCTCTTAGTAGTAAAACCATCCCTGGAACAGAAGCTCCTTAGGGCCACCTATAAAAAAGGTGAAGAGCAAGCCTCAGACAGGATCAGGTTAAACTTCAAGTAACATAACTACGAGGCAGAAAAACCCAACATTCTTTAAAGAAATATCAAGGCTGGGTGCGGTGGCTCATGCCTGTAATCCCAGCACTTTGGGAGGCCCAGGCAGGTGGATCATGAGGTCAGGAGTTCGAGATCAGCCTCACCAACAAGGTGAAACCCCATCTCTACTAAAAATACAAAAATTAGCTGGGCATGGTGGCGTGCACCTGTAATCCCAGCTACTCAGGAGGCTGAGGCAGGAGAATTGCTTGAACCCGGGAGGCGGAAGGTTGCAGTGAGCGCACCACTGCACTCCAGCCTGCGAGACAGAGCAAGACTCTGTCTAAAAAAAAAAAAAAAAGAAAGAAAGAAGAAGAAGAAAGAAAGAAAGAAAGAAAAAGAAAAAATCTAGCACCAAAATCATGTAATTCACAATATGTAGTAAACAATTAACAGGTATGCAAAGGAATAGAAAAGTATAACCCATAGCCAAATCAATCAATCAATAGAAATGTACTTAGAAATGACAGATGACAAAATTCAGAAAAAAGAACTTTTTAACTATTATAAGTTTTTAAAAGGTGCTCAAGGAAATAAAAACATGATACAATAAAGAGATATAAATAATGTAAAAATAAGATATACTGAAATTTCTAGAGACAATGTATGAACTAAAAGAAATTAACAGCAGATAAGGCAGTAGAGAAGGAAAAAAATCAGTGTCTGTCAATATACAGCAAGAGTGTATCCAAAATGAAGCACACAGTAGCAAAAAAAAGAAGACTGAACAGACTCAGCAAACTGGGACAACGTAAGTGAACTAAAATTTCTGTAACTGGAATACCAAAAGTAAAACAAATATGAAGAAATAATAGCTGAAATGTTACCAAACTAGATGAAAACTATAAACCAACAGACCAAAGAAGATCAATAAAATACAAGTGTAATATATGAGCTTATAGAAAAATCACGTTCATGTATGTCATATTCAAATTACTGACAAGAAAAAATGCCAGAGAAAATAGACACATTAAATATAGAAAAACAAAGATAAGAATGATGGATTTCTCATCAGAAATCATGCATGCTAGAAGATAATGGTGAGGACATTTTAAAGTATTGAAAGAATATAGAATTCTTATAGAATGCCAGTATAGAATTCTATACTCTGAAAATATATACTTCAAAAAATAAGACTTCTGTAGACCAATAAAAATTAAGATAATATCCAGCCTGCACTAAACAACAACAACAAAAAATTAAAGGAAGTTTTTCAGACAGAAGGAAAAGGATAAAATATGAAAATGTAGACCTATGCAAAGGAATGAAGAGTGGCAAAACTGGAAAATATATGAGCACATAAAACAAACTCTTTCACATGTTCTAATTTCTTTAAAAGATAACTCAATTTTAAGGAAAAATAATAATCTATTGTAGGGTATATGACACTCACAAAAAAATTGGTATCAATAATAGCATGAAAGGCAAACGGGAGGAAATGGAAATATCCTATGTTCCTACAACTATATGTGAAATGGTAAAGCAGTCCCTGCTTACGCACAGGGAATGTGTTCTAAGACCCCCTGTGGATGCCTAAAACTTAGGCTAGTACTTCCTGCACTGAAGTCTGAAATCCCTCAAAGTCATCCATGAGAGTTAAAATCAATTTCTCCCAAACTCCTGTTAATGTTGACATTTTGATCTTCTCCCATAAATCACAAATGTTCTTAATGGCATCTAGAACGCTGAGTTATTTCCAAAAGATTTTCAATTTACTTTGCCCAGAACCATCAGAAGAATCACTATCTGTGGCAGCTACAGCCTTATAAAATGTTTCTTAAATAATGAGACATGAAACTCAAAATTGCTCCTTGATTTCTAGGCTATGGAATAGATATTAAATCAGAAACTAAATCAGTCATTTTAAAAAAATCTACCAATCAGAAAGAGCCCGGGCCAGAAGGATTCACAGTCAAATTCTACCAGATGTATAAACCAGAGATGGTACCAATCCTACTGAAACTATTCCAAATAATCAGGAAGAGGGACTCCTCCCTAACTCATTCCATAAGGCCAGCATCGTTCTGATACCAAAACCTGGCAGAACACAAGGTCTAATATCCAGAACTTATAATGAACTTATAAATGAACAAGCAAGAATCAAACAACCCCGTTAAACAACCGGCAAAGAACATGAACAGACACTTTTCAAAAGGAGACACACACGTAGCCAAGAAGCATAAGAAAAAATACTCAATATCACTAATCATCAGAGAAATGCAAATGAAAACCACAACGAGATACCATCTTACACAAGTCAGAATGGCTATTAGTAAAAAGTAAAAAAAAAAAAAAAAAAAGGTTTGTGAGGTTGCAGAGAAAAGTGAACACTTATACACTGCTGATAGGAATGTAAGTTCAACCACTATGGAAAGCAGTTTGGAGATTTCTCAAAGAACATAAAATAGAACTACCATTTAATTCAGCAACCACATTACTGGGTATATGAAGGGGTATAAATTGTTCTGTCATAAAGACACAAGCACAAGTATATTCACCACAGAACTTTTCACAATAGCGAAGACATGGAATCAACCTGCATGCCTGTCAACAGTGGAGCGGATAAAGAAAATGTGGTACATACACACCGTAGAATATTACACAACCATAAAAAGAATGAAATCATGGCCAGGTGTGGCGACTCATGCCTGTAATCCCAGCAGTTTCGGAAGCCAAGGCAGATGAACTACCAGAGGTCAGGAGTTTGAGACCAGCCTTGCCAACATGATGAAACCCTGTCTCTACTAAAACTACAAAAATTAGCGGGGCATGGTGGCACACGCCTGTAATTCCAGCTACTCAGGAGGCTGAGGCAGAAGAATTGCTTGAGCCTGGGAGATGGAGATTGCAGTGAACCAAGATCGCACCACTGCACTCCAACCTGGCTGACAGAAGGAGACTCTGTCTCAAAGAAACAAACAAACAACAACAAAAACAGAATGGAATCATGTCTTTGCTGCAACATGGATGCAGCTGGAGGCCATTATCCTAAATGAATCACTACCTGGGTGATGAAATCATTTGTTCACCAAACCACAGCAACAAGCAATTTGCCCATGTAACAAACTTACATATGTACCCCCAAGCCTAAAATAAAAGTTGGAAAAAAAAAGTCTACAAAACAGTTTGGGTAGCTTTCCATGTTTTCCCATATTCTAGCATAATTGATTTAGCATTAAAATTAGCTTTTTCAGAAAAGTTTGCAACTGTTAAAGGATAGTTTTCAGAAAAAGAAAATCATGGCTCTCATACAGATATATAAATGAACGTGTTACTTTATTATATTCATTAATCAGTGAGGGAACCAGGCAGATGTTATTTTAAAAAAAATTTTTTGAACCCATAATACTGTGTGTTCATCTGTTTGCATTTATATATAGGAATGTCTAAGGCTGGGTAATTTATAAAGAAAAGAGGTTTGTTCTGGCTTGTGGTTCTGCAGGCTGTACAGGAAGCATGGTGCTGGTATCCGCTTCTAGTATCTAACCTCAGAAGGCTTATAGTCATGGCAAAAAGTGAATGAGGAGCCAGCATATCACATGGTGAGAGAGAAAGCAAGAGAGAAGGGGAGGTTCTAGACACCTTTGAACAACCAGATCTCACATGAGCTGAGCGGGCACTCACTAACTATAGCACCAAGTCATTCATGAAGGATCTGCCCCTATGATCCAACATCTCCCACCAGGTTGGGGATTACATTTCAACATGATTGGAAGAGATAAACATCCGAACTATACCATACTGGAAGTCCTTGCCAGAGCAATTAAGCAAGAGAAACAAATAAAAGGCATCCAAATTTGAAAAGGAGAAACAATTATGCAAGAGAAACAAATAAAAGGTACCCAAATTGAAAAGGAGGAAGTCAAATTTGTCCCTGTTTACAGATGACATGCTCTTATAAATGCAAAAACCTGAAGAATTCACCAAAAAACTCCTCTAAGTAAAGTTGTAGGATACAAAATCAACATGCAAAAATCAGTAGCATTTCTATACACCAATAACAAACTACCTGAAAAAGAAATCAAGTAAGCAATCTCATTTATAATAACTACAAAAAAAATACCTAGGAATAAATTTAACCAGAGATTAAAGATCTCTACAATAAAAACTATAAAAAATTGATGAAATAAATTGAAGAAGACACAAACCAATGGAAAGACATTCCATGTTCATGGAATGAAAGAATAAATATTTTTAAAATGACAATATAACCAAAGGAATCTGAGAGCTCAATGCAATTCCTATCAAAATACCAATGATATTATTCAGAGAAATTTTAAAATCCTAAAATTCACATGGAAGTACAAAAAATGCTCCAAATAGTCAAAGCAATTCTGAGCCAAGAAAAACAAAAACAAAATAAAAGCAAACAACAACAACAACAAAAAAAACAAGAACAAAGCTTGGGGTATCACACTACCTGACTTCAAAATACACTACAAATCTATAGTAACCACAAAATTATGACACTGGCATAAAAACAGGCACATATACCAGTGGAATAGAATAGAGAACCCAGAAATAATTCCATATGTTTATAGCCAACTCTTTTATGACAAGGCACAAAGAACATATATTGGGGACAAGAGAGTCTCCTCTATAAATGGTCCTGGAAATAACTGGATATTCCTATGTAGAATAAACTTAGATTCCTATCCCTCACCTTACACAAATATTGCATAATCTGACTTATAGATGGAATCCAGGCTCACAAAAGCAGATAGCAGAATGGTGGTTGCCAGAGGATAGGCGAAGGAGGAAATGGGGAGTTGTTGGTCAGATGGTATCAAGTATCAGTTATACTAGATGAATACGTTCTGAAGATCTGATGTACAGCATAATACATACAATACTGTATTTAATGATATTTGCTAAGAGGGTAGATCTTATGTTTGTAATACACACATACACACACATACACGCACAAAGAAAGAAAATGGTAACTACGTGAGGTGGTGGATATGTTAGCTTAATTGTGGTAATCATTTCACAGTATATAGACAAATCAAAACATCAAGTTGCACACCTTACATATACACAATTTCGTCAATTATACCTCGATAAGGATTGGAAAAACACTTCTAAGGAGGAAGCAATAATAATGACAAGGAGGGCAGGTAGAAGAGGGAATGGAAGCTGGGCTGAATGTCGAAGGAATGAGAAAATGCATAAAAGACATACTGAGAAATGATGGCAAGCTAGTAATGTTTTAAGCAAGACAATGACAATATGGGTCGGCTGGGAGACAGTTGACATTTAACTAAATCAAAAACCTTAGAAATGTGTAAGCCCTGAGTTCACATCTAACAAAATTATGAAAACAAACAGCTTTGTGGCAGATTACAGGTTGTTTTTACTGTCTTGTTGTTTTGTGTTTTTATGCTTTTTAGTACTTTCCAAATTCTTCACAATAAACCTATATTACATTTATAATCAGGAAAAAAATGCTATTTGAAAAGAGTAAAGTAAAACACTAGAGTCTAATTGTTGTTACTCTAAGTGTGATGGCTTATTAGAAATGCAAAGTCTTGCCCCCGTCCCCCACCTCACGAAGACCCAGGAGATCAGAATATGCAGGATAATAATCCACAGGTGGTCCCTATCCAAATCTACAGTCTGAGAGGCACTGCTGTAGCTCCTCCTGATCCCATACCCACAAAAGTAGATGATGCACCTACCAGACTCTGCTCTAAAGTCCCTAGGTGAAGACATGTTCCCATCCCCTAAATTAGACTGGTAAAAGGTTTCTTCAGAAATGGAGCCTTAATATCCTGTGAGTCAGGCCAAAGGTCTAATTAGTATCCTGGGGGCCAGCAAATAATTTTTGTTCACCTAGTAAAATACACAAAGCCAAAGATTTTTCTGTTAGACAACTGGAGCTATCACAGCTTTGACTTATTATTACTCAATTCAAAATATTTAAAACAGTGCAATTTTAATTAAAGACAATTAAAACAAATTTCATTTGAAATTTTATCAAATAATTTCAGGATATTCCTTGAGAATTGGATACGCTTATTTATTCAAATACCAGAGCTTAAATATGCTATACCTTGCATTCCACAAATAAATATGTGAATGGCCCTCCACTCCAATGATGGATCTCTTTATATAAACACACACACACACACACACACACACAAATGCAATCAGTGTCACTCAATGGAAACTCAATTATTTAAATGCCACACTTAAGCTAAATTAGGTGCTGAGAATTCAGTACTGAATAAATAAGAATTAATTACAGAGCCCGTCTTCAAGGAGTTCTTGTTCATTCAATCTATAAAAAGTTCTTGCATAGAATAAATATTTTTTCTTTTCTAATTCTTCCCATAAGGGGCCTGTAAGGCCATGTTACATTGCTCCCATTGGTTAAAATACCAAGAATACTTTTTGTCTGGAGACCTTTCCATTAACTACCAGCAAATAAAATGGTATTGCTGTAATCTGAATCTAAAATGAATGTTGTGAAACAGATTTATCTTAAAACTTTGAGATATAAGTGTTAAAAAATTATTTAAGGCTGGGTGTGGTGGCTCATGCCTACAATCCTAACATTTTGGGAGGCCGAGGTAGGAGGATCGCTTGAGTTCAGGAGTTTGAGACCAGCTGGGGCAACTGGGCGAAACTCTGTCTCTACAAAAATTAGATGGGTATGGTGGCACACACCTGTGGTCCCAGCTACTCCAGAAGCTGAGGTAGGAGAATGGCTTGAGCCTGGGAGGCAGAGGATACAGTGAGCTGAGATCATGCCACTGCAGTCCAGCGTGGTCAACAGAGCCAGACCCTGTGGCAAAAAAAAAAAAAAAAAAAAAAAAACCTAAAATGTGAAAGTAAGGCAAAAAGACAAGTGGAATGTCACTTCAACGTCATAAAATGATGACAGGCCATCCCAAAGATTACTTGTGTGGGGAAATTGTACTTTATTAAGTTCATTGTTTACTACTGATTAAAAGTCCTAGACTTAATGCAATTACAAGGTAACCTATAGATTTTTGTCCAGCAGTGATACAAATAATTTCTGTCTGATAAAGTAACACTAAAGATTATAATTTATTTCTGTCTGATGTTAACCAAGTTTTCTTAATCTAATCTAGCATTCTTACTCTAACATTGGTTCAAAATGCCAGTGAAAAACCTAGATCCTCAAACTGCTCTTTGAACTACCTTTGCCATCTTCCTGGTTTATTCACTAATTAATACATTGAGTAAAATGTTTAACCTGGTTTCATTTCAAATTTGTATGAGTCACATTTTTAATTTTTAAAAAACTCTACTTTGACAAGGGGAAGAATATCTTTTTTAAATAGGAGGAGGGCTAGGCACAGTGGCTCACACCCGTAATCCCAGCACTTCGGGAGGCCGAGGTGGGAAGATCACTTGAGCTCAAGAGTTTGAGGCCAGCCTGAGCAATGCAGTAAGACCTCATCTCTACCAAAAATTTTTTTAAAAAAAAGATAGCCAGGTGTGGTGGCACTCATCTGTAGTCTCAGCTACTTGGGCAGCTAAGGCAGGAGGATTACGAACCCGCGAGACGGAGGCTGCAATAAGCTATGATTGTGCTACACTGTACTCCAGCCTAGGCAACAGAGCAAGACTCTGTCTCAATTAAAAACAAAAACAAAAGGATGGCAGTGGTCTTGTGACTGGTAGTGAGGTAACAGATTTCAGTGAGGAGCCTTCCCTGGAAGCAGACATGAGATCTTAAGGACCTCAGAATTAACTAAGAACCTCTAAGAATGACACCTAAGCTTCTGCCTACCAACTATGTGATTGAAAAGATACAAAATAGTACAATTTTAACTAAAGACAAAATAAATTTTGTTTCGAATTTCATCAAGTAATTTCAAGACACTCCTTGATAACTGGAGACACTCATTACTAATTCAAATACTAGGGTTTAAACATGCTATACCTTGCATTGCACAAATAAATATGTGAATGGCCCTCTACACCAATGACTTATCCTCTTTATGTAAATACACACACATATTAGTAAGATCTCTCTAGTGCACAGATGAATAAACTAAAATTCATATCAAACCATACCAACAGTCAGTTGTTCAAACCTTCCATCAGAACAGCTTTGATCAGAAATGCATGCCTAATCCTAGTATTTTAATAAACAACAGTGCAGCGAGTCACAGATAACCCTACAGAAACACAAGAATTAAACTGGATAAATTTCCCTTTCCTGACATGTTTTCTAGTGTATCTTAAAATAGACAAAACAAAGCAATATTAAAATGATTAACATTTAATTCAATTTTGAGTTGCAGCTACTGTAGTAAATCAGTAATAGGATCACACAAGTCAACATCAACACATGTGTACTGAAATTTTAGATAGCCTAGAAAAGTAAACTATATGATAAAAACAAAATCTTCATTTGCAGAAGAAAACTTTTCAGAAAATATAGTGCAAGCTTTTACCATATTTCCCACCTCCCCTCAAGCTTGGCTAAGTAAGCCCCTGCAAGTGCTTCCCCTATAAGCTCCATGTTTTATAATGATTTCTGGACTCATCTCCTAGGGTTGGACCAGAAGCATCTTGAGGACAGAAACTATAACATTTTCATTTTTTAATCTCCAGCCACTAAACTAACACATTGGAGACATGCAAGAAATGTTTGAGGGACTAATTAGTTAATTCCATAAAGAAGGTGTATGTATCACCAGGTAACTAATCTGCATGTCCACATCAAGAGCTCTGAGAAGTCACAGAGGTATCACTTGAGTGACAGGCACTCGGTCCCTGAGGGAAAGATTGTGAAAGATATTGAGGGGCCAGTGGTCAGATCCGTAAGACGAAGGTTTCCCTCCAACTCCTGGGGAAGGTGCAATAGTATAGAAAATAGAGAATTAGCCCTGATAAAAGGGAAATCCTTTTAAAAGTATTACTTATTCTATGATAGAGCACTGAGGATAGAGGAACAAAAGCTCCAATATGAAACAAAGTGATCCCATCTAATCATAAAAAAAAGAAAAACTACAAGTGTTTAGTTTGCTCAAGAAACAAAAGCAAAACACCTTTCCTCAGGTGGCAGGGTGACATAATTGGAGAATCAGTGAATACTGTACATATTCTCAAATCCTCAGCCAGGACAGGATTTTCAGTCTATCTCAAACTCTCTCAAAACTGAAACAGGTGCTAACAAAGACTATTTCTTCACAGTGGACTTTGGGTTGGGTGCAAGACGCGAAAACATACAATTTAAAATGACATGCTCAGCACCTTCGGCCTCTGTCAATTCTTAGCACCAGGGCTGGGGCTACCTCTAATTCTTGTGAAAGTCCTATCACACACTACTCCCTGAGACCTACACTAGCCTGAAGAGAAGGGAATGAAAGAAGTCTCAAATGTTCAATAGTGACTGACTCTTGCCCTACCTGTAGTTACCCCAGGGATAAGAGTTCTTTCCTCTGAAATCTGTATTTCCTGTGACTAAATTCTCAGTACAAGCTTCTTAGGCTACTAGTAATTATTTGGCAGGTTTTATGCCTTTTAATAATGATTTTTAGTTTTTTATAAAGAATGGTGGTATTGCTTTTTCTGATTATAAACGTAACCATTAAGAAATGTCATTCCATGGTTTCTTATTCCCTGTAGTATGTGAGTGTGAGGGCTGGGGGCTCAGAGGGAAGCGGGGAGAAGTGAAGTGCTGAAGTGCTACCTCCAGAGCCACTGACAGTTCGCCCAGTGCAATCAGACAAAACAAGAAAAATAAAATAAAAGGATTAATATTGGGGAGGAAGAAAGAAAACCGTCTTTATTTGCAAGGTTAAAAGCTTTATACATAATTATACCTCAATAAAGTTGATTTTTAAAAAGCCGCAAAAAGATAATGTACTTCAATTAAAATAAAATATAGAAACACTTGTATAAAGATAATATCAAGTGACTAATGTAAGTTTAAACATTAAAAAATAGTTGCTACCCACCCATCATAGACATGAGAACAAACTGTCCCCATCTGTGTTAGCAGCAAGCTCACTAAGGATTACTGTGAGCATCCATTGGAACAATGGAAGACTTAACGTTCCAAAGGCGCTGGAACCCTATGTCAACAATGCTTCACCCCTTGAAACCCAGGCACTGATGATAGCGTTGCCATGAGCTACATTCTAAGTAAATACTTTTTCAATTATTAGAATGGTTCAAGTAAAAGTAATTAATGACTTAAGACATCTTTCCGAAATGACTCTGTTATCTGGATGCCTCTGCTATTAAGGTGCCAAGGCAAACAACCTTCTACTGTTTATTTCATTCATGATATAAATTGCTTTGGCATATTCCCTCCAACCTCCTGAACCTCAGGTCCATCCGTTTGTCCATCTGTCTGTTTAAACTTTTTTTCTTCCCTCCTTCCTACATTCCTCTCTCTCTCTTTTGGAAGTGTATCAGTAATTACAAGAGGGTGCTTTATTTCAAAATACACAATTCCTGTACCTCCAATCACTGTTACCAAGCAAAAAAGTTCACTGTTTAATGTGTTAGAAGCCAATACTATGGCACTGGGTTTTTGAGAAAAGAAAGACTTTTTTGTAGGTCAACCAACAGGGAGACAGGAGTCTAGCTCAAATCTGTCTCCATGTACTGTTTTTAAGGCAGTATTTTTATTAGAACACATTGAGGGAGTGAATTTGGGGATAGCAGGAGATTGGCAGAAAGAAAAGGGTGGCTGAAAAGGCTTTGGTTATGTGCAGTATCTCTTCATGCTGTCTCATGGGTCACATATGTAAATTCCGGGGGAGTTAGTACAAAACATGCAGTGGAAATGTGGGCTGTGGTCTCAGCAAGCTCATACTATGTAGACTCTAGTTTGCCATATTGGTTCCAACTGATTTCAGCCAGTTTTGTTATCTTAAAAGCAGAGAGAATTTCAGTGTTTCAGAAAGTTGTTTTTGTTTTTTGTTTTTATCAACCAATCCTATAAATTCAAGAATTTCTCTTTGCCACTGATTAACTCTCTGGGGCACGGTTTCATTAGTAGACCTCAGCTTCCGTACTCCAGAGAACTACTTATTTACTGGGTGCAGCTGAACCATTTCCATAACTGAGATCATGTAAGTCAGGAATGTATACACATCACATATGTGCACAGACAAAAGTTCATGACTTCACCTACCAGGTCCAAGACGAGTCTCCTTAGGAATGCCTGCATACAAGACTGGCCCTTGGCTGGTGTCTGGGAACTTGGCTGGTAAAATCATTGCCTATACTAATGCAAAATTTTTTCTAAATGAGAAAAGTAGCTCATTTCTCCTAAAACATCTTCTTTCCTTCTAGGTATCTGGAATTTCAGTGACTGCTATCAGTCGCACTGACAGTCTGTGCCCTTGACTAACCCCTGATAAAGACCCTAAATTCTTATGTTCAGATGAGCTTCCCTGATAGACAACACTTCACACAAGTTCTCATACCTTGTTATTCAGAAAATTAAGTGCATCCTACGTGACTCACAAGGAGAATATTCTGGGGAGATTGTGTCTGATTTTCCTTTGTTGATTTTGCTTTGTACCTTTTCAGTCTACCATATCTTAGCCATGAATGTGACTACCTGCTGAAACCTATGAATCCTTCTATCCAATCGCTGAACCTGGGAGTAGTCTTAGAGAGCTCTGACAAAGGCTAGTGTGGGAAATACGTTGTCGTCCTCATTAACAGACCCTTCTTAGTTATATCTCACTTTCTAAGTTCCTGCCTTCCACTTCCCAGGAGAGAAAAAACCACACAGCATTACCTGAACATCATCCCAGGGTAATCACAGAACACTCATCTCTGCAAAAGAAGGAAAAACGAACTAGGTAATGTTGCAATATTTTTAACTGCAAATAATTTTGCATACAAGGCTTACCTACATTTGACTATTTTTGCACTAAATGTTTAAAAGTAACAAGCTAGTATCTTCTTAATGTAAAAATATACATGTCCAACAAAATTTAACTTGTTCTGCTATCATGAAAAGAGGAATTCCAGACAAATGTCTCATAATGTGCAGTCAATGGGCTTATATAAATAAGGCTAAAATTACAGGCTTAATAAAAGATCATCAAACCAGGGAAAACTCCAAGTAAAATTATAGTACACAGTTGGCCCTGCCACCTGAGACTCACCTGAGACTCATACTTTCCTTCCAACATGCCTGTTTTACCTATTCCCTCAAGGCTCAGACTTCAAATGAGTTCCCTTTTTTTGGCAACAGATTCCAGAAAAACCAATATGCCACCTAAAGGACAAGGAAGGCATCTGCACTAAGAAAATGAAAAGAAATCAGAGAGAGAACTTCCTGACTTACTCAGATCATATCCATGGGTCCACATATGTCTAAAGGCCAACCTTGTCCTGAATCTTTAGCCATTTAATCTATAAAATAAAAGATTTAGAAAAGGGCTATGGGCAATATGGATCTTTTGCAGATACAAAATTTTTTAAGTCCATAAACTTTCTCCTTAAAATACTGAAGACCATTAGTGATGGTTATAATATTCTTGTCTGAACTGAGAGCTATAGTTAGGCTCCTTTTAGAAGCCCTGCCATGAACAGAGAAAAAAGAAAAGGCATGTTCCTACTCCGTTATCCTCTGTAGACATCTTTCCCATGATAAGTTAATAATGAGAAGAGAAAACCAACCTTCTAGATTTCTCATCATTTAATGGTGTGAACCCTGAGTTTCTGAAGCCTGGTTAAAGAAAAAAGAAAAAAAGAAGGAGAAGGAGAAGAGAAGGAGAAGGAGAAGGAGAAAGAGAAGGAGAAGAAGGAGAAGGAGGAGGAGGAGGAGGAGGAGGAGGAGGAGGAAGAAGAGGAAGAAGAAGAAGAAGAAGAAGAAGAAGAAGAAGAAGAAGAAGAAGAAGAAGAAGAAGAAGAAGAAGAAGAAAGTTCTCCTCATTTGAAATTCTTCCCTCTCCTAGCTCACCTTCCTCACCTTCTCTTTCCTCTGTGGTCTCCACAGTCAGATATGAGGTAATAGGTGGAAAACACTTCCCTGTGATAAAGCAGTGATGCCTGAGCCACCCACTTCTGGTACTAAAGCTGTTCCTAAAGAATAGCAATGGTACTCATGTTTTGGGGGACTCTATGCTACTTAGAAGTGAGTGGCTAAAGTTTCACAGTGACTAATTCAAGAACAAACAGAAGAAAAGGACAAACAGAAAGAGGCATGCCCTTAGCCTCAATCAGATAGTTCTAAGAAAGTGATTAGGATGGTTTGGAGATTACCAGTCCCATACCTTATCCAGTCACCAAACAACCCAGGCTGGATGTGGTTGCCTGGTAACCACACCTTCCATGTACCGAGCCACAAGTATGTCTTTCAGGTGTGTGAACACCTGAAAATTTTTAATTTTTAGGTTCATTTTATACAATGCACCTAAAAATTCTTCCAGTCTATACACAATTCCAAAGCCACTTCCATGTTTTTTAGGTACTTATTACAACAGAAAAAGATTTCCTGGTATCAAAATATGTATTCATTTCCTATGGCTGCCATAACAAAGTGCTACAAATTGGATGGCTTAAAGAGGCAGAAATGTATTCTCTCACAGTTCTGGGGGCAAAAGTCTGAGAGTGGCAGCAAGGCCATGCCCTCTCTTAGGCCCCAGGGAAGGACGTTTCCTTGTCTCTTCCTAACTTTTGGTGGTTTCAGTAATCCTTGATGTTCCCTGGTTATAGACATCCCACTCCAATTTCAGCCTCTGCTGATACAGGAATTTCTCCCTCTGTCTGTGTCCAAATTTCCTTTGTTTTACAGGGACACCAATCATTGTATTAGGACCTCAGCTTAACTTGTTGGACTCACAGGTACCTGGGGTTAGGACTTCAAAATATTCTCTTGGGGTATAAAATGCAACCACACAACAATAATAAAAGAGAAAATCTAGGCCACCTTGGTTTTGGCAATGAGATTTTAAATACAACACCAAAAGGATAATCCAGGAAACAATGTTGACAAGTTGGACTTTATTAAAATTAAAAACTACTTTTCTGCAAAATACACTGTTAAGAGAATACAAAGACAAGCTACAGACCAGGAGAAAATGTTTGAAAGACACATATCCAATAGAAAAGTTCTAATAAAAAATATACAAAGAACTCTTAAAGTTCAACAATGAGAAAACAAACAACCTCATTTAAAAAATGGCAAAATAGGCGTGTCACTGCAAATTCCGTGAAACAGGAGAAAAACTGTGAGTTCCCAGAGTGTAAGAGGGAGAAAACCGACCTCCAAACACACATCCCTACTGGGAATCTGAAAATCCAGATCACAAGAGAATAATTTAACCTTACCTAGAAATGAAAGGATTTAGAGAGTCACACAAAATATAAAAGTAGAAGTAGCAGCAGGAAGTGCCTTGTATGAACTCCTCGTCTCCAACTCGAGCACAGGGAAGCCATTCCTGACTATATCTCACTGGGGCCCTTGAGGAAGGCAACCAGCAGAATTGTGGAAGTGTTGTGGGGTGAAGAAAGCTCCCGGATGAAATTGGTAGTGGTTTCGACTGGGCACACATTTTCTGGAGTAGAGTCTGAGGAAGGAGCAGGAGCTGCTGCAGATATAAGCAAGTGCAGGAGTACAAGAACTGCCACCAACAGAGCAGGGGCAAGGTCTGAGTGGGGCATTGCAGAATATGTGGGCTTGCCAACTGCATGGGAAATGAGTCAGGCCTCTTGCTACTGGCTATCCCTGACTTCCCTGGCAAACTATATAATACAGCAGAGGTGGTCAAGATTCCCTATGGAACATAATCCCATTGGCCGAAGAACCAACTCCCAGACCCCACAGTGGCCTCAGCAAACCCCGCCCAAGGAGAGTCTGAAACCAGACCTGCCTGATCTGCTGCCACCTGATGGCATTTCCCTACCTGCCCTGGTAGCTGAACACAAAACACAGAAACTCTGGGGAACTTTATTCCCTGAACTCTGCCCCCAGCACCTGAGAAACAAAAATACTTACCCTGGCCGTCTTAGGGCAGACTTAGAGCCCCGTACTAGTATCATAGCTGGTGCTCTTCTGAAAATTCCACCTCCTGGCTAGAGGCCAACCAACTCAGGCCATTACAGCAACACATAACAGAATAATCCTGATCCTAGGAAGGGGAAGTCAACACCTAATTCCACTACCTGAAACATCCTGGCTAACCAGAGGTCCTAAGTGTATCCACTTGACAACTTCACTGTAGCATAACCAGCATTCAAGAAAGCCAGAACAGTAAACATTATCTACAATCGAGGACTCTCAGAGTCTACTTTACTTCCCTGCCACCTCTACCAGAACAGGTGCTGGTGTCCACGGCTGGGGGACCTGAAGACGGATCACATCATAGGACTTTTTGCAGACATCCCCCAGCAGCAGCCCAGAGCCTGGTAGCCCCGCTGGGTGGCTAGACCCAGAAGAGCAATAACCATCACTGCAGTCCAGCCCTCAGGAAGTACCATCCTTAAGGGAATGGGGAGAACACCACATCAAATGATCGCCCCATGGGACAAGAGAATCTGAACATCAGGCCTTGAGTTTCAGATCTCTCTGCTGAAATAGTCTACCCAAATGAGAAAGAACCAGAAAAGTAATTCTGGTAACAAGACAGAACATGGTTCTCTAACAGCCCCAAAAGATCACACCAGCTCCCCAGCCAAGAACAAATCCCTGAAGTGCCGCATAAAGAATTCAGAAGGTTGATTATTAAGCTACTCAAGGAGATACCAGAAAAAAAGTCAAAAAAAAAAAAGAAATTTTTAAAAAATACAGCATATAAATGAAAAATTCTCCAGAGAAATAGATATTTAAAAAAATCACAACTTCTGGAAATGAAAGACACACTTAAAGAAATACAAAATGCAGTGGAAAGTTTCAGCAACAGACTAGAATAAGTAGAAGAAAAAACTTCAGAGCTCTAAGACACAGCTTTTGAATTAACACAATCAGACAAAAACAAAGAAAAAAGAACTTTAAAAAAATGAACAAAGCCTCCAAGAAATGTGGGAAAATGTTAAATGGCCAAACTAAGAATAATAGATGTTCCTGAGGAAGAAGAAAAATCTAAAAGTTTTGAAAATGTATTTAAAGGAATAGTTGAGGAAAACTTCCCTGGCTTTGTTAGAAATCTAGACATCCAAATACAAGAAGCTCAAAAAACACTTGGGATATGCATTGCAAAAAGATCATCACCTAGGCACAGTCATCAGGTTATGTAAAGTCAAGGCGAAGAAAAGAATCTTGAGCTGTGAGACCACCTATAAAGAAAAAAGTATCAGATTAACAGCAGACTTAGCAGAAACATTACAAGCCAGAGGGATTGGGGTCCTATCTTTAGCTTCCTGAAACAAAATAATTGTCAGCCAAGAACTTTGCATCCAGCAAAACTAAGCTTCATAAATGAGGGAGAGATAAAATATTTCTCAGATAAACAAATGCTGAGAGAATTTGCCACTAATAAGTCAACACTATAAGAAATGCTTAAAGAAGTTTTAAACCTTGAAACAAAACCTCAAAATACACCAAAAAAGAACCTCCTTAGAGCACAAATCTCATAGGGCCTATAAAATGATGACATCATGAAAAAAAGGTTATTAAGGCAACAACTAGCATGATGAATAAAATAGCACCTCACATCTCAATACTAGCATTGACTGTAAGTGGCTGGCCTAAATGCTCCACTCAAAAGATACAGAATGGCAGAATGAATAAAAATCGACCAACCAAGTAACTGTTCTCTTTAAGAGACGCACCTAA